ATTCCAGCTACATGGCGGCGGTCTGTAAATAATCGAGTCTGGACCAGACAATCCAGTGATCAACAGCATGAGCATCGATCTGCGCAATTGGGATACAATGACATGTGTCAACCAAGTCAGCGACGCTGACCATTCGATCTCGTTAGTCGCCTCTTAGGACAAGCATGGGTTACTGAAGACCAATTCTAACCCGGATCTTCACGGGTCGCAGTTAATAATGATATCATTGGTAAAGTCATGGATCTCGATCAAGGTGAATTTGGGATTCAACATTAACAGATCCTGTCACGGCTAAGGCACGCAACTCTTATACGACTGGACTCCTTGTGCTTGTTGGGTTAACACAGTAAGTGTGAGTGAGTTTTACACCGCTTTTAGTAATATTCCTGCAATATCACGACGGGGGATACTAGAAATGGGCTTCACACAATGTACCCAAGTAGGGAATCGAACCTGGACCTTCATTGTGATGAGCGAACGCTTTAATCACTGGGCTACTCCACCGCCCCTTGAGTCAACAGAACTGTCAACACTATCGGAAGTGCAAGTCCAATTTTCATGTCTGGCACGGAAGGTGAAGGGTGAAATCAGTTTGATTAGATCACATTGCCGTATTCACACGCTTCAGCCGCTACTCATCTGTCGCCATTGTCTGCCATACGGGTTGAAACTTTGAAACGACCTAGAACGTCGACATGATGACGACAAATCTAAGCCATTAAACAAATTCTACAAAACTAAAACTGCTCACACTAAACCTGTTCACGCAGAAAGATGTGTTCGGAACTACAGCTGATCGAAATTACGTATCGGAACCGGCTTTCTAGACTAAGGCTTAGTCTCTGAATATATATAATTTTGATAGTAACAAACAAGCCCATTTAAATTGAAGAGGAGCCCCAGGGAGACCAGAGATTCAGAACCTGAGGAAGTCTAGACTTGCTTCATTTAGGACTTGAGCACTGTGGGGAAGGCTAGGCTGTAGGGAAAATAAAGTGGTTCAGGGACTGAGACAGACTAACGGCTTTCGTGTAGACTAAAATAGCCCACTTACTCTAATTTCCTAAGCTCACTTCTCGCCCTTTCCTGAAACAGAAATAAGACGGACATGAACGAAAGTTTCCGATTGTGTTCGTGTTCGGTGCGTGTTCGGTGCGTGTGTAAACAGCAGGGGAATTCCGACATTCGTATGCGTGGGGGAGTGGGGCCAGAAGGGGGGACGTTAATGTCGATGTGACCCTCGCATGCAGGTCATTCTCACTTCCTGCTGGCTGTGTAACAAGTGTCCTACTTCACTGCCAACAATACGTGTGGGAGAGGAGGTGGGGGAGGGGTTCATATCTGCAATACAGTCGTGAGGACTCCGCGGGGGAATCTCTGACTGTTCACTAGTCTGTCTCACAGTCCCTGAACCACATTATTTTCCCTACTGCCAAGCCTCTCTGCAGTGCCAAAGCCCTAAATAAAGAAAGTCTAGATTTCCTCAGGTTCTGAATTTCTGGTCTCCCTGGGGCTCCTTTTCAATTTAAATGGGCTTGTTTTTTACTATCAAAATTATATATATTCAGAGACTAAGCCTTAGTCTAACTGTTCACCTACGCTTGTCTTAAGGCGACTAACGGGATCTCGTGGTCAGGTTCGCTGACTTGGTATGTTATCGTGTCCAAATAGATCGATGCTCATTTTGTCAATCACTGAATTGTCTGGTCCTGACTCAATTATTTACAGACCGCCGTCATATATAGGCGTTAAACAACAAACAAACAAACAAAACATATACATGTCACTTGTCCCCTACATGAACTGGTTGGTCAGGCTTGGTTTTATATATTGTTTGGTTTGTTTCTTGTTAAATGCCTCACTCAGCATTTGCCCAGCTGTATGGCGGCTGTCTGAAAATAATTCGAGTCTGGACCAGATATTCGTTTGTTAACGTACATCGACCTCAGAAACTAAGTAACCCTGGTCAATGGATCGGGATCGGGTGGTCAGCATCGCTGACTTAGTTGGCACGAGTCATCGTATCCCAAACGCGTAGATCGATGCTCATGCTGTTGACCACTGGCTTGTCTGGAATATTGCTGAGCGCGGCGTTAAAGAACAAACAATTACACAAATAAAATCAACATTATACGTAACAACGCTCCACGCAAAGCGCTCCAGTACAATCAAGGGTCATCGGATGAACAGAAGGGACCAACTTGCTCGGTTTAAAGTCTGATGACGTCACATCCGGCCAGTTATTGACACCACTCTCCAGTACAATCAACGGTCATCGGATGAACTGTAGACTAACGTTTAGTCCCTGAATATGTATAAATTTGATAGTAGCCAATAAACCCATTTAAATTGAAAAGGAGCCCCACTGAGACCAGAGATCTAGACTTGCTTTATTTAGGGCTTTAGGGAGGGCTAAGCATTGGGGGAAATAATATGGTTCAGTGACTGTGAGACAGACTAGATGAACTGCTACCGACCCCTGGCCTTCTGGGCGACTTCCTGTCGGTTGTATGTTTACATACTAATTATCTATTACGCAAATGTTCACTGATGGGTTGTATTGATCAGCATAGGTGACCAGCTGGCTCGGTGTAAAGTGTGATGACTTCACATCCGGTCAGTTATTGACACCACCAACGCTCACGATGATTGCCGGTTCATTTGGTACATATAGCCCGCGGGGAGTTATTGACAATCTCTGGTTGCTATGGACACCACTTGATAACAACAGTGTTTGTCGCCATGGACTACACTCGGTGTGTTGACCTCAGACTGTGTGTGGCTGCTTGCGCTAGTCCGGACTGATGTATGTGGGGCGGTGGGGTAGCCCAGTGGTTAAAGCGCTCGCTCGTTACGCCGAAGACCCGGATTCGATTTCCCACATGGGTACAGTGTGTGAGGCCCATTTCTGGTGTCCCCCACCGTGATGTTGCTGGAATATTGCTAAAAGCGGCGTAAAACACACTCACTCTCTAATGTGGCACTGGGCCCGTTTGGAAACTGGAAACTACACCCAACTCACGAATACCTGACTGCGAGCCACCCAGCTCACCTGGAGAGAACAAGGCAGGGTAACAACAACCACCATGTTTTAACGCGCTCGGGAATCGAACCACCGACCTTCCGCTCCCTATACAAGACGATCCATGTATGTCCATGTGATTGGGGCCGTGGGGTAGCCTATTGGATAAAGTGTTCGCCAGTCACGCCGAAAACACGGGTTCGATTCCCCTCACAGGTACAATGTGTTAAGCCCGATTTTGGTTTCCCCCGATGTGATATTAGTGGAATAGTGCTAGAAAAGGCGTGAAACCATACTCACGGGGGACACCAGAAATGGGCTTCACACATTGTACCCAAGTGGGGAATCGAACCCGGTTCTTCGGCGTGACGAGCGAATGCTTTAACCACTAGGCTACCCCACCGCCCCGATAACATGTGAACGTTGGGCATGATGGTTCCATCTGTGTAGCCGATTATGAATCCTAGCATCTGTAGCTCTGTGAAGCTCATCTCGAAAGTGAGAGGAACCATGACCACGGTTTCTTAACAAGTCCTTTTGATGACCAACGTTATTTGCATGCCGATATCGTGATGGTAATGTACTGACTGTGAAACGTTAAGAGCTCGAGCCACGATGCTCTGTCCTGTTTTTGAACTTCCAACATGCTGGAATATTGCTAAATGGGGCGTAAAACTAAACTCGCTCACTCACTCCAACATGCCCATTGCGCGTAGCCGTTCCTGACGTGACAGCCGCCGCGTTTAAATATAACGTTTCAAAACAATTAGTCAAGAACAAATCGGTCTCTGCTCTGTGCTGTGTGTGTGTGTGTGTGTGTGTGTGTGTGTGTGTGTGTGAGTATGTGAGATTAAAATGTACAGCAACACACGGGAACGTTTCATTTTTATTTTTGAAGTTTACCCCGACCTCTTCAGGCTCACATAAAAAACGCTGGCACGAAATTAGCGTGATTGCTCGCAAGGTCAGCTCTTTATGTGCCAGCCCTTGAACTATATACTCTTCAGGTGTCATAAGTTTTTAATCAATTACTGACGACCAATACACCATACATACACTGCAACATGCGTCGTTCGTATCGCACTGAAATATATGATAAAACATGAGTTTATTTACACTCCTACAAGCATTTGGTGTGATAATAGAAGACATACATTAATACACCATTGACACACACCATCAGACACACACACACACACACACACACACACACACACACACACACACACACACACACACACACACATTTGTATAGCGCCGATATCCAGCTCAGCTCAGCTGCTCAAGGGCGCTTTGTTTTTCCCTCGTTCACTGGATGTCAATCTCAACGGCACATCGTATTGTCAATCTCAACTCCCTGGGGATCATACAACACATGCCCCCCAGACTCATGCATACATTAGACAAGAAAGTATAACCCAGTTTCCACAGGGATATCAAAACAGGTGACAGGTGTTTCTGGTGAAGCCACGAGTCATCTCCTGTATTGAATATTACCGTATACGGTGTCTCATTTGATGGCAGTCATGTGTTTGGTTTCCCCCGATGTGATATTAGTGGAATAGTGCTAGAAAAGGCGTGAAACCATACTCACTCACTCACTCCAGTATGTACCACAAGTATTTTCATGTCAGGTCAAAATCAACCCGGGATGGGGGTGGGGGGAGTAGCCTAGTGGTTAAAGCGTTCGCTCGTCACGCCGAAGACCCGGGTTCGATTCCCCACATGGGTACAATGTGTGAAGCCCATTTCTGGTGTCCCCCGCCGTGATATTGTTGGAATATTGCTAGATATTGCGTAAAACCATACTCACTCACTCAAAATCGACGGTTCGAATCCGCACACTTGCCCAGCTTATGGGCCTCCTAGTTTGTAACCACGCCTATCATATTGTGAGAACACAGACATGTTGCGTCATGCGTCGGAAAGCCATAGACACTTTACTGGATACCTTGGATACACAAGATGTGGCCATGTGTCTGTTCAAACGAATTTATTGTCAATAATAAATTTCAACAGAACATCTGCTGCGACATGATCGTTCAGATACACTGAATGGATAGGCTTTAAAGGACATGTGCATAACTATAATGAACCCAATGATTAATTTACATTGACAGATATAATGATGTGATGTGGCAATTACTATATTATAATTAACCAGGCAGAATAATGACTGCACATAGATCGGCTTGAAGCAGACACATCAACCCCTAATAGTTTCATCTCAAACCGCATTAATCTTATTGATGTTTATGATCAGGGTTGGAACAATGGCGGAGTTATCTCTTTCTCCTGTGCCATTTCGATAAACTCAGAATGAACACTTCTCAGTATTTTGTATATTTATACTATCTTCTTATCCATCAAAAAAGACACTTTGGGACATAATTCTATAAAGGTGGCTCCTTGACACCATTCGTATCCATTCGCCATTTTCCGTAACCTGCAAGTTGGTTTGTTTCGGAATAGCACGAGTTGGGCACACATGGGCGAATAGCAACACATGCCAACACTCGCGTCTTTCCGTCACCTTTCCGGATTAACACGAGTGGTGACACGTGTCATCTCATTCGCTATAACAATCACATAAATACATAAAACGTGAAAGACAGTTTCGTGAGTCAATATGACTCGTATGACGGTGAAGATAACTATGTACAACCAATATGGTAATGAAATTTATCACATGGAAACGAAATGTAAATGTATGCATACTAAATATATACTGCAACAAAGCATGTTTTTTTCTTGGGGACGTACGATTTCTTGTCAATGCAAAGTTTGCGTTACGTTCACTTCGTGGAACGGAGCCCTGGGTCCATTCCAGAAAGTGGTATTCGCGCCAACACGAGCGTACCTCCCATACGTTAACACAGACTTTCTACGATCGTAGCTACGTCTTTCAACAGAGACTTACGTTTATCGCAGTGCTGAAATGATCGTAACTCCATATTTAAAAATAGACTTACGACAATCGGGCGCTAAGACAATCGTAACTACGTCACTGTCGTAATCGTAAAACTGAGACGATCATAACTCCATACTTTAACACAGACTTACGACAATCGGAGTGTTACGACAAAAATCGTAGCCCTAAGATCTGTTTGTGAAACGAATAATCGAAACGTATTACATGGCAAGAATATCAATGACAATTTATTACAAATCCACGTCGTTGTTTCAGCTATTGCAATCACCCTCGCTGTGAACATCGGGGCTTTCTCGCGATATTTACACAATATACACGCCCTATGTTAACGTTTTCAAACCCAACTTGAATCAACGGAGACATTCATCGATTCAAGTAATCCTGTTTACACGGTAGAGTACACGTCCGCCTGTAAACCATGTACAGGCAGGTATTCCCAAACATGACGAATGTATACGGTATCCTCATATATACGTCCCTTCTAGAACAAAGGTTCGTCCAAAATGGTTGTTTTCACGAGTGCTTCAGTAACTCCATAGGGATCACAGTTGGAAGATGGACGTCTGTCTTCGAGGTAACCCTTTCCGTCTTCCGCCACCTGGCGGGGAATTCTCACACTAGCTCCGCGGTTAGCCACACCGGCAGAGAAGTCATGAATGGACGAAGTCTCGTGTTTTCCCGTGAGACGTCTCTCGTTGTCCTTGCCCCCTCTGGGGTCGTACACGACGATGTGGTCGGCGTGACGTACTGCCATCTTGTCAATGGCGTCTTCAATGAACCTAAAAAACCAAATACATTCAAATGAAAAATGGCACTGTTTACTAGCATTTTCCAGAGTGTCCTACAGTATATGAGCTTATTCATGCTGCCATTGACCTTGAGGAGGTGAGGGGAAATGCTAAGACAAATCCTGGGTAAAATGTCTAAACTATTTATTTAATTCTAAATGTTTTATGTCCTGGCATCCAGGCTACAAACCAAGCACTCACTTCAAGCCACCATCTTCTCTCATTGCCTTCGTGCTGTAGTTGGTGTGGGCGCCTGCACCGTTCCAGTCGCCGCTCATTGGCTTGGGATCAAAGGTGACAATAACGCCAAAGTCTTCTGCCACTCTGTGGAGGAGGTACCTGGCAACCCACAGATGGTCGCCCATGGATATACCCAGACAGGGCCCCACTTGGAACTCCCACTGAAAGGCAAGAAAGCTAAGATTATAAACAGTGCAACCTTTACAGGGACCCGTTTGGTTCTCATTTTGGAAGGTGGGGAAGCATGGTGGTTTGACACGATTAAAAATAGAACACCTTTAACAGGGCCCCTCTTGGACCCCCCACTCCAAATTCAGGCAGGAACAAAGACTTTTTAGATTCGATGGTAAATAGAACAACCTTTGAAGGCCCCCATATGGATCGCCCATTGACCAGACCAGGTGAGTCAACGCAGTCTAAATTTTTCGTTTTTAAGAACAGTACAGCACTTTCAGCAATATCAACAACACGTGGACAATGGATAGCGTATATCACTGATAAGGTCAGGTAGAAATAATCCATATCTTCCAAACACAAGAGGGCGGTGGGGTAGCCCAGTTGTTAAATCGTTCCCTCTTCACGCGGAAGACCCGGATTCGATTCCCCACATGGGCACAACGTGTGAAGCACATTGTTGGTGTCCCCTGTCCTGTTATTGCTGGAATATTGCTAAATGTGGCGTAAAACCTACTCACTCACCCACTCCAAACACTAGTGACGTCATAACGCCGTTCTTGTATTCAATCAGATTCCATCGTGTGTTGTTCGGGGACACGGAAAAAGAACGATGCGTGTGGCTACAAAGGTAATGGGCGAGTGGTGACGAGGTTTTTTCTCATTCAGAACGTACCTGAGCTGGCATGACCTCTGCGTTACACCCAGCGATCTCAATCCCCGCATATAGACACGCCCTGTAGTGAGCCTCGACGATGTCACGGCCGTACACCTTGTTGGCTCCGACACCGCAGTAGTAGGGACCTGGAACACAACCACACGCGTCATAAAGGGGGGTTGGGGGATCACAAGCGTCTGCTCTGATCTGAAGGTCACGTTCATGTGTTTAAAGTACAATGAGATAAAGGCATTTCCTCCGATTTTGACACGCCAGGTTAGAAGATACTTGTTAACTCTCATGGGTTAAAAAACGTTCGTTTTGGCGCAAGGATTTTTAGCAGGCCATTTTGTTACAGGTGATCACCGCATAGTATTACCATTGAATCATCATAGAATTACCATTGAATTACAATAGAATTACCATTGAATTAAAATAGAATTACAATGTAGGCAAGAAATGAAGGGGAAAATGATAATTAAATAAATAAATGTGAAACATTGAAAAAATGCGTGTAAACCAATAAAAACATGAATGGGAAACAGAATCTGTCCATCAATTACCAAGTTGTCCGTCTCTTTGTCCCTGTCAAAAATTAGGGCGGTGGGGTAGCCTAGTTCTTGATTCCCCACATGGACACAATGTGTGAAGCCCATTCGTGCTGTCTCTGTCGTGACATTGCTGGAATATTGCTAAAAGCGGCGTAAAACCATGCTCACTCCCTCTCAGATCAATACTATTTTCTCTTCCGTCCAGACTTGTATACAGTGCCTAAGCCCTAAATGAAGCAAGTCTAGATTTTCCACAGGTTCAGTTTCTGAATCTCATATCTCACTCCTTTTCAACTGAAATATAATTGTTTTGTTCTATAATGATATATTTCATAGACTAAGCCTAAGTCTATCGCCGTACCTTGAGGTCCCGGAAAGCCCTTCTTGGGCCAGCCGAAGGGGTACTTGTCATAGTCCAACAGAGTATATTCCTGTTCGATTCCAAACCAGGGTTCTTCCGCCTTGGCCCTGTCCATTGCAGCCTTGCACGTATGCCGGAGGTTAGTTTCTGGAAACGAAGCGAGTATTATCAATGCACAATGTCACCGCAAGTGAGTGAATGGTACTTTACGCCGTAGTGTTTACGCACACTAGTTCCCTATATCACAGTAACCTGTACTGCTGGTCGAGTCTGGGCCCTGCAAACCAGGGGTGATATAACGAGTAATATCCCGTGTTATTAAGACATTCTATTCTGAACGAATATATACCGTACACATTTAGAAAGCTATACAGTCAGCTCTCGTTAATCCGACACTTGTGGTTGCAGAGAAATATGTCGGATTAACTGAATGGTCGGATTAATGAATGAAAATGTCGGAGTAATGTATTTGTGTGAAAATATCAATGTTTACTAAATGTCATGATCGTCATACTGTTGCTTGCATATCAGAAACGGTTGATCTAGTTATCTTCATCGTACGTAAAAATATTCACAGAAATAAAAAATACTAACAATACATACTTGTTATCATTTATTAACATTCGAAGATGGCATAACATACATATATAATCACATAAGCGAACCGTTTCATATCTATTTCATGAACACATTGGCACAAAACCCTAAAAATATTGTGATCCCAAGCCTTCTTTTTTCGGTATATATAGGTCAACCGAGAGAAAAACATCACATCTGGTCCCAATACGCAGTGTCTGAATAAACAAGGATCATACTTACTGACAGGGTTCAGCTTGTGGTCGTAGACTGAGCACATGAGGAGTTTGTTGTTGCCGCGCCTGAACGGATCCTTGAATATGGCTACGGGCTGGAGATACCGGTCTGAGTCACGACCCTCCGCTTGTTCGGTGCTTGAACCATCGAAGTTCCACACAGGGCATTCTGTAATCAGAAGGACGGGATATACAGTATATATCTAAAAAGTTCCTTACAGCTCTGTTAGAACATGCTGAGGGCAAATGTTCCTTGTAGGTTAGGGGCGGTGGGGTAGCCTAGTAGTTAAAGCGTTCGCTCGCCACGCCGAAGACCCGGGTTCGATTCCCAACATGGGTACAATGTCCCCCGCCGTGAAGCCCTTTCTGGTACCCCCGCCGTGATGTTGCTGTAATAATACTAAAAGCGGCGTAAAACCATACCTACTCACTCACTACTTGTGGGTTACCTCCCTGATTTCCGAACGGATTAAGTTCCCCCCCCGAGGAAGAAATACAACGAAACACTACGCTTTAAGGAAAAGAAATTATGTTTTACATGTTGAATTAAACTCCCCCTGATTTTCGAACGCATTAAATTCCCCAAGCAATACAATTATACACAACGTTTTACAAGTATATTCACTATCGACAATATATTGAGGTAAACTTTTTTTAAAATGTTCACAATAAAATCATAATATGGCTTTCTTATTAGTCTTTTTTGTATGTGATATAACTCCGATACAGTTCAAATTGACGTTAAAAGAACCTAATCTCTCAATCAGGGGCGGTGGGTTAGCCGAGTGGTTAAAGCGTTGACTCTTCACGCCGAAGACCTGGGTTCGATTCCCCAGAATGGTACAATGTATGAAGCCCATTTCTGGTGTTCCCTGATGTAATTTTGCTGGAATATTGCTAAAAGCGGCGTAAAACTAAACTCTCTCACCCAATCTCTCAAACACCACGCAGCGTAACGTGACTGCGCCGTGACAAAACATACACAACATGAAAAATATTGTTCATGACGTCAATACGTAATAGATCCGACTATCAAAAATACAATCGCTGTTTAATGTTCGATTAAAGCCAACTCATAATATAGAGTTTTTGTGCTATATGTTGATGTACGAGACATCTGGCGCACGGTACGGGGCAATATAGTGCAAAGCGTTCTTTCATCAGTGAGTGGTAATTCAAATGTGGAAATATATTACAATATACTCATGCCAATAATGGTTGTCACCCCCCTCCCCACTCCAACCCCACACACACACCCCACTCCCTCTCCAATAAAAAAAATTGAAGGGGGTGGCATGAGTATATAGTCATGTATACAATGTTAGTGCTGATGCCTCTTCAACACTTTGATCACGTATCTCTTAAACGTAATATATACGTAGTGACGTATCCAGCTCACGGAAATTTATTACCTAACAATTTATTTTTCTAGTTTCTTTTTCGATTTACAGCTTAACTGAAGTGGTTTAACTCAGTTGAACTCGGTCAGCACCGTGTAATCACTAGTGATATATTGTATCTGTCACTCCAGAACATTATTTAGGGGCGAGGCATACAATTGCAAGTATCTGTGATGAATTTGCTTTTTGTTTAGAACGTTGTCTTTCTTAGTATATGAACGTATGTCGGTTTGTTTGACAAGCCGCTGTAAGACTCCCGCCACATGGTGTAGCATACTTCCACGTAGCTGCAACTTGGGCTTTCTCGGAGTGAGGGTTTCATAAATACACGTGATCTCCATTCTGTGTCCTTTTAACGAAGCACTCAAATTCTCGATGCACGTACTAACATTTAGTCCTTAGATAAGCTCATCTTACTTAAAAACAAACACACACGCACACGTGCACACAACCACTCGTATACACGTGTATATATTCACACACACGCATGTATGGACTCACAGCAAACAGCGGTCTTAAAGAACACAAAGAGGCCACTAATTATAATTCCTGATAGCCTTAGCTCGTAATAGGCTTTTCCACTAAAATATTCAGCGGGATATAGCCTTTCTCCAAGGCTGTACTGAATGCTGAGCCCATGGATGTATAGTAATTCTATCCTTTGAAGAGGCAAGTCTAGATACGTGGACAGTACACCAGTCTGTTATTTATTATTTTTTAGAAATTATCATTTAAAGTTTTAATTTTTACCTTAGAGAGTTTAAACCCAGTTCGTTATAACCATATTCGTTATAAACGTCGTTAACTGTCTGGAGTGAGTGAGTGAGTCTAGTTTCTACGCCGCACTCAGCAATATTCCAGCTAAATACATGGCGGTGGTCTGTAAATAATCGAGACTGGACCAGACAATCCAGTGATCAACAGCATGAGCGCACTGGGAACCGATGACATGTGTCAACCAAGCCAGCGAGCCTGATCACCCGATCCCGTTAGTCGCCTCTTACAAGCACGGATTCATTCTAACCAGGACTTTCACGAGTCTTAACTGTCTGGAGCACACGAAGTATAAATGTTCCTATACTCTTTTAAGGTTTCTTCCCATGATTTGTACAACACTGTGGAGAAAAAATATAATAAAGGAACTCATGTACTTTCATATGTTGCTTTATATATTTCCATCAGTATATTTCTCCTGTCTGTGTGCAGTCTCGACAACGTGCAGTATATGCTGCTGACACAAATTTTAATCTATCATGCACAACATCTGGATTCTCTCGTCCCAGGACAGGTGTCGTAATGGATGAGATCAGCTGAGTATCGGGACCTCACTGATAACCTCCATGTGTCACACCTAAGAGTAAAGTCCAACACATTACTGTGTTCTCCATATAGTATTCGGGGCAGCGCCAAGGACACGAGCTGTCCGAGTTTTGTGTCATCATCTATATATCATAGATATGTGTCCGACTTTCAAAACAGGACGCTTTGTCATCACGAGAGGTAGTTGTTTTATGCCGCCTTAAGCAATATTACAGCAAAATCAGTGAGTGAGTATGGTTTACGCCGCTTTTACGAATACTCTAGCAATATCACGGAGGATGACATCAGAAATGGGCTTCACACATTGTATCCATGTGGGGAATCGAACCTGGGTCTCACACCGAGTGAGTGAGTGTTATTGCGTGTTAAACTGACCTTCGGGACTCTTGGGGTTGAAGTCGAGAGTTCTGCACTTAGCTCGGATCCCTTCTCCACTCCCATCGATCCAAATATACTCCACCTGGACCTTCTCGTCGGGCTGGGGGAGGTCCAGGTACTTGTTGAGGACCGTCTTGTTGGTGGTGGGGACAGCCATGGTCGTCTTCAGACTCTAGAGACTGAAAAAAAGCCAACAGTTCATAAAGAAAAATAACATTTGGACTGAAAAAAGTTGCCACTGGTGGAAATATATACTCACCGACAAAAGAAAGTACAAAAAGAAAAATGTCCACTGTTTGGGGGGTTTGTTTGTCACTAATTTTCTGATTTGTCTGGTCCAGACTCCACTATTTACAGACCCAGTGAGTAAGTATTGTTTTACGCCGCTTTTAGCAATATTCCAGCAGCATCACAGCGGGGAACACCATTGTACCCACGTGGGGAATCGAACCCGGTTCTTCGGCGCTTTAACCACTGGGCTACTCCACCGCTATATATTACGGTGACTATCAATAGAAATATACACGTGAATCCACGTTAACGACATCATCTCGCTTCAGAAGTTCAGAAGTCCTAATCACTGAATATCTAAACATTACTGTCAACCATAGACAACATGCAGGGTTTTTAAAAAAATGTGTGCTGACACTCGGTCTCGTGACTGATGGCGTATCATCGTGACCCAAAACCGTGATTGGTTACTCGCTAAGGGTCCGAGTTATCTGGTTCAGGTTGGGTTACTCACAGACCCATTCGGCGCGGGTCCAATGTCGGCCATTTATGCCAAGTCGGATTCAAAGTGTCGAGTCCACCGCTAGCGGTCGATATTATTTAATAATATTAGAGAACTGAGAGGTGTCATATATTGGAATCGGTAGAATAATCACCTGAGACCAGGTAGGTCAAGGTGAAACAGCTATACAAGGCAAGCAGTACTGTACAGAGTGCCTGGTCTTGTATGAGATATACAGGATTGCCCATGTCTCAGTCCCTGAACCACATTATTTCCCCTACTGCCTAGCCCTCCTTGCTATGCTAAAGCCCTAAATGAAACAAGTCTAGATTCCCGCAGAGGGTCTGAATGGCCCATATGACTGGGGTTCCTTTTCAGTTTAGCGAATGAGTGAGTGTAGTTTTACGCCGTACTCAACAATATTCCAGCTATATGGCGGCGGTCTGTAAATAATCGAGTCTGGACCAGACAATCAAGTGATCAACAGCATGAGCATCGATCTGCGTAATTAGGAACCGATGACATGTGTCAACCAAGTCAGCGAGCCGGACCACCCGATCCCGTTAGTCGCCTCTTACGACAAGCATGGTCGCCTTTTGTGGCAAGCATGGGTTGCTGAAGACCTATTCTACCCCGAATCTTCACAGGTCCTTTTCAATTTAAATGGGTTTATTTGTTGCTATCTACATTATATATAGGGCTGTAACGATGTATCGAACTATCGATGGATTGCAATTGTTGAGTTTCCGATAGCAATTAATCGATGGCAGAAGCGAAAAACTATCGATGCATCGATAATATGTGTGACTATCGATCAGTCTAAGTAAACTTAAGCTCAGTATTATTCGTTACACTGCTATACTGAGTCTAACAAAACCTTGTGGAAGGTCGCGTCAGATAACCATTTCAATTGACCAATCAGAACACAGCTTACCAAATCGCGAAAGTTGACATTCGCACATACCTTTTGAACTTTTACCGCGAAAAAGTTTTGTACCCAAACGATTCCGAATGCTATTTTCCGTACGATCGCTTCCGAGTGATGCACATGGAGCACACCACAACCGTGAGTAAACAGTCGCAGAAAATAGCGTTTTGTCAATATTCAAGGACGTTAGCTTGCAGAAATATTAGCTAATGATAGCCATGTCAACAGAAACCTAAAAGCGTATATTCTGCAGGTCATAAATCTGTGTTTTATGCGGTTTTTCATTTGTTGTGAGATCAGTGTTGGCGACCGGGGAAGAGTAAATCCATTTTGTAAGTCCCGCCGAACCTTAAATAGTAGCCGTTGTCTGATTGGTTAAATCCGTTCTGTCGTCTCGCCTTTGATTGGATGGTCATAGGTCGCTCAAAGGTTATCTGACGCGACCTTCTACTAGGTTCCGTTAGACTCAGTATAGCAGTGTAACGAATAATACTGAGCCTAAGTTTACTTAGACTGGACTATCGATAGTCCAGTAATTGACTTCCGTTGATAAATGCGCAGCGCAAAATACAAGAAGTACCAGATTGGTTCACTTTGATTTGATTTATCCACCCCTGTTACCTGTTAACTGTTTACTTGATCTGGGTTTCAAGTTTCTTGTCAGTTATTGAAAGAGACTGAAACTACTTCAACTTGTATTTATTTCATATTAACTATACATTCATTTGGGAAATGACTTCAAATGAGACAATTAAATGAGAGAAAAACTATTGCAATAGCTGGTCGCAATAAACTGTCGCTATCGCAACAGTTTGTTGCAATAGAATATCTCTAGATTGTCAATTTCGTAATTACATTCTTATTACATTACACCCATATTTGCGGCATGTAACCGCCAGGATGTCATTTGAACATATATACTGAGAGAAACAAATGAGAATGAAAGGAAAGTTCAAGCGTTCCTTAAATATTTTCCAGTTTTCATTACCAGCTTTGAATAACGCTGTGGTGATGAAAACGGGAAAGTAATAAAGGAACGTTCGAATTCCCCTGTGATCCTTTATTTGTTTCTCTCAGTATAAGTGTACACAAAACGCAGTTACTGGCCATATATGTCCTTTTCAAACAACATGTTAAAAGAATACAATTTTCAAAAACCGGATGACCGCAAACGAAAATTAAGTTCACCATTGCCAAATATAGTAAATTTCCAACATATATATATATATGTCATTTTCTTAACTCTATACAGCTGCTATTTTACAATAAAGTAATAGTTTTTAGAGGAAGGTATGCAGTTTTCACAACGTCACTGCCAAATTGACGCGGCCCAGCGAAAGTACACTTGGTCATTTTATCTGTCTGTCTCATGGTTAGCAAACGAAAGCTAGAGCTGAAGTGTCCTCTGTTATTGATTTCTCCAACAGCTGATACAGACTGGCTGATGTAGCAGAACCACGCCATTCTTGTATACACCTGTTTTATAACACTGTGAATTTCGATTTCTTTAAACGACAGCTTTCATGTAAAAACAGAGATGGCCACCTTCAGTCTTCTCGATGTTGCCTGCTTTCACCATACGCACACATGTTCCATCTAAAGCTTACAAATACGCCATTTAACACAAAGGGTTCAGATGCCACTGACCTGATTTGCCACGGTACGTTTGTTATCCCCAGTAACATAATTTCGGTGGCATACAAAGTATTAAAAACATACGATATAAGAAACAAGACTTAATTTCACAAATCAACAAATATTACCTAGATAAAATGTGAAAATAACAGAACACTTACACATAGAAAAGCTACTCCCGTCTTTGTTCGGAGGTTGGCCTAGAACTGACTGGTTATTCGGTCAGAGTAACGGTACTTATCACGTTCCCAGCGAGTGCTTTGAGCTCTCAACAGCGTGTGAAGCTAGGGACAGTGTGTAAAGCTCCGACGGCATGCTGCCTTTATAGACAGAGCGTGGGCTAACGAAGACTGGGATTTTCCCCGGCATGCCGTGTGTACGATAATGTGTCAAGTACGGATTAGCATTGGTTGCCGGCGAGAATTGGTCGGCGACAAGGTCGGCAACCACTCAACGCGCACATGACCAAAAACCATTGTTGGAAGCATGTACGTACGCTATCGACTCAGAGTATCCAGTTCTATCAGCAACCATTGTACAGTGACAGACTGTTAATTAGCCTGGTCGATGACAAGCTTGAGGATCTAATATGTATGTGGGATACTCTTTCTGATCAGTTCAGTCCCCCCCAACCACTTCTGGCAAATTTCCGAATTCAAAATTCATACAAGAATTAATCATGCAACCCTAACGCAGGCTGACATATTTTTCGGTCAGTCACCCACTTTTGATCAAACCCAATAAAATGGCCTGGGGGCTCATATGCGAAATGCGCATTATGTCAGACAGCGCACCAAAGTCTCCAAATCATCATCATCATCACCATCATCATCACCATCATCATCATCATCATCATCATCATCATCATCATCATCAGGGGCGGTGGGGTAGCCTAATGGTTAAAGCGTTGGCTCGTCACGCCGAAGACCCGGGTTCGAATCCCCACATGGGTACTATGTGTGAAGCCCATTTCTGGTGTCCCCCGCCGTGATGTTGCTTGAATATTGCTAAAAGCGGCGTAAAACCATACTCAGTCAGTCAGTCAGTCAGTCATCATCATCATCACCACCACACCATCATCATCATCATCACCACCATCACCGTCACCACCGCCATCATCATCATCATCATCATTATTTGTCAGTTAACTACAGAGTCTAGTTACGTTATAGCTTGAATACGAATCCATACTGTCAGCGTGACTCACCTAATCACAGGGTAGTGCCAAATATAACATATGTTACATTTGACCACTTTCTAATTATAAAAGGCATTGTGTGTTCAAAGCTTGAGCATGTATGAATTATAGTTCCATTTTTAATATACAAGTAAATGAATAAAAAATATACTGTTCATTACAAAATTCATTTACAAACACATTTAAAATATCACTCAACTTGGGAGTGAGTGAGTGTCTTCCGCGTAACGACCAAACGATTTATCCATCGGGCTTCCACATCGTCCCTGATATATAACAAGAAGAAAGTCCAGTAGGGTTCTCTCGAAGTAATACCCGGTCCCAGCGTATTCCTTCTTTACTCACAATTTTCCTGTTGTGTCGAACGTCGGATAACTCGAAGTGAGTGAGTATGGTTTTAGGCCGCTTTTAGCACTATTCAAGCAATATCACGGCGGAGGACACCAGAAACGGGCTTCACACATTGTACCAAAAACGTATTACTGTTTTGTATATAAGCACAAACATCCTACAGACGGACGAGAAAAACACGAGATCCATGATTGTTTCCGTTGTTGTACCCATGTCGGGAATCGAACCTGGGCCATCAGCGTAACGAGCGGACGCTATAACCTTTTGGCTACCCCACCGCCCCCTGAATCTGGGACTGCGTATGAGGTACACAATGCCATTAACGATCAATGTC